CCCCTCTCCCTCTTTCGCACCCAGACTCCCTCCATCCTCTCCCTCCCACTCTCACCACCTCAAACCACTGCCTGCAATTGTAGAAACAGTCTGAGCTCAATGGAAGACGGAGGGATGGCAGCGTGGGAGGGGGGAAGGGGAAGGGGGGAGGAGGGAGGGTTTCCTTTTCACTTCTGGTTCATAGACTTGAGATAGGTCAGAAGATGGATTGTTTGCTCGTTGGTTTTCCGGAAAATACATTCTTACCCCAAATGCGCGATGAAAGTTGTCCACCGGCGTCCTTACGTTCGGTGTCATTAAGCCACGCCTGAAAACACACACACACACACACACACACACACACACAGAAGAAGAAAGAACTTCGCCGTTAATTGAATAGAATAGTACAAACCACTGTGCACATGATAGACACATATGAAAGGCTTCCATGCACTTCTAAGCCTAAGTCCCGCCCCGGTTCAAAAATTCCCGGAGTCCCGAGTTCCATGTATCATAGCCCAACCGGTAGGCCCTGTAGTACGGTAGCATCAGTACAGTCCAGTGGGTCCGTCCATACAGGTAGTTCGGTAGGTCGTTAGGCCTTGTCAGTCCACCAACAGTCCAGTCCCAAAAATAGCAGCTCAGTCGTGGCACCTGTTCCCAGGCCCAGAATTCTCCCCTGCCAGCCTTCACTTAGGGCCAACGTTGTTTTCGCAGTTCTGCCTTCACTTAGCGCGGTCTGGCTGTACTTTCACGGGCGGACACTTTGGGCACCCCGAGGCCTCGAGCCTTTCACTCCCACCCACTTAGGTTCAAGAGCCCTCTGAAAACCCTTTCACTCTGGCCGTTGCTTTCCTTTTAGAGCCCTCTCATACTGCAGAACCACTTGAGGTGCATACTTAACCAATGTGTAATTGAACTTTTTCAACAAAAAACAATCAGGACTGCTTTTGTGGCATGTTTGTTTGTGGGGTCATCTGTTGTTTGGGAGGGTTTTGTGAAAGGTATGGGATCAAGTGGGAGTCAATCCTTCCTCCTGGAAGCAATCAATGCTGTCAGGATTCCCCAGCCCGTAACGTGGGGAAGCCTTATGAGTGGATATGATCTCAATTCAGGAATGCTGGACCTGGTTTCTCGCTCGTGCTGCTCCCCACCGATAGACAGGAGCTTATATATTCTTAAGGGAAACAAGTGGATGCCCCCTCGGCGCTGTCACAGCACACAGGTGGGAAACAAAAAACAAAAAAAAACATGGCCCCAAAAGAAGTAGGAAATGGACTATGAAGGCATAGGGCCTCGCTCCACTACTCTCCAAATCTGCAAAATGAGACAATCCCCCGCTAGAACATGGGAAGATACACCGCCATTTTTTTGTCTTTCGTGCATGCGAAGAGTTATGGAGCTAGGCCCATACTCGCGTGCAGTGCGGTGTAGATGTGCAAGGATGACACGCTCAAATCGACGCATGGGCCCTCAGCCCACTACTCTCCAAATGTGCGAAACTGAATCCTCCGCTAGAACATGGAAAGATATATTGTCATATCTTTTGTCTTTTGTGCACGTGGAGAGTAGCATAGCGAGGCCCTAAACACCACTTTGGTCCTCACCGTCGGCCGTCATGGTGGGGCGAGGCCCTAAGCTAAGACCAAGGACCTCACTCCACTACTCGTCAAATGTGCAAAATGGGAATGGATATTCCCGTGGGACGTGGAAAGATACAAGGGACATGGAAAGATACACCACCATAATTTGTCTTGTGTGCATCTGGTGAGTAGTGGAGCAAGGCCCTAAACACACCGGGACATGGAAAGATACACTGCCATATTTCTTGTCTTTTGTGCATGTGGTGAGTAGTGGAGCGAGGCCCTAAACACGCCGGGACATGGAGAGATACATATTTTCTGTCTTTTGTGCACGTGGTGAGTAGTGGAGCGAGGCCCTAGACACCGCTTCGGGTCTTACCACGGGCCTTGCTCCACTAGTCACCACGTGCACAAAAGACAAAAGATATGGCGGTGTATCTTTCCGTGTCCCAGCAGAAGATTCATTTTCATTTTGCACATTTGGAGAGTAGTGGAGCGAGACCACATGACCATGGCCCGTGCGCAAGGATGACACGCAGCAATGACACATGGGGCCTCCCTCCACAACTCTCCAAATGTGCGAAATGAGACTGAATCCTCTGCTAGAACATGGAAAGATGCATTGCCATATCTTTTGTGCATGTGAAGAGTAGCGGAGCGAGGCCCATCGTCCGAAAAACAATAAAAACACAGACATACTCGCCTGTTAAGGGAACAACACTTTGGCCATGCTATCCACAAAATGACACAAGAAAAGATTTAAAAAAAACGACACTACGACCACACGTGGCCAGGTCGTTAGCATAGTCACGATATCATTTTCTGAATATATCTGACCCCGACGACTCCACAATCCAAGCTGGCCACGTGCGGGCGTAGTGTCGTTTTTTTTTTGCCCCCGGCCAGGCTGTGAATTTGCCCTCAGCTACACGGCCTGAGTACAACTATGTACTTGTACTTGAATGTGCAGATACCTAGCGCGGAACTTCCCAAAGCGGTCCACGGCCCMCCGGTGCGCCCCCCCCCCCCCCTCCCCTTGATTTCCATGGGCCCGCATGAAGCATCAC